AATGTACATTCAGAGAAAAAAGAGAAATAACACATTTAAACATTATTCTGGGTTTATTAAACTCTTTGGGTAAAAAACAAATATTCCCAAGTGGCCAGTAATGCTTTAATTCTGTAACTATTTCTAAATCTGAACTAGCATTTCTGATTAATTTCAGAAGTGTATTTTTTTCCCCCTTTCTCAACGCATTCACTTCTGCTGAATTTTCATCCTAAAATGACGCTTTGGTTAATCATTTATTTCTCTAGCCAGTAATAATCCTGCCATGCTTCCCCATTCATACTAGCTTGGTTACAAGCGATGAAGGCCACGCGGAGCCTCCTTCTCAAGCTGCATTCCCCATAGTCTGTATTCTCTAATTTTCTATGCATTTCCAGATCTAAAACCTTCTGTTTCTTTCCCTTGTTTGCTCTTGGCAGCTATTGGCAGGAGACATCCTCTTAATGATCTTTTTCTGGCCTTCTAGACGACTGCTCAGACTTCTACAGATCTTTCATTATTAACGCAGAAGCCTTGTAAGTCAGTTTTAATGGCCTGTGCCATTTTTATTCCTTAGCAGGAGACATAACCTCCTCCATATGGATATATGTTTATTAATATAAATCCTTAATATCATTTTTCCTAGTGAGAATAATCAGTAAAAGCCAACCGGCGTGTATTACACCTTGTACTGGTTCATCCAAAAATCAAAAAGTAATCTTTGCCCTGCAATATGTGGAGCATGGCAGGGAGAAGCGGATAATCCTTTTCCCTGAGGTTGCCTAGGCACCGAATGACAGCAAGGTTTCTTTGCACAGTCCCACCATTCCCCTCCAGACAGAGGACCACATCCCGCCCGCAGCCGCTTTCATTTCTCTAGCGTGGGATTCATTACCTGGTTTCAGCCCCTTACTATTATTCCTGGAATATCTCCAATCTCCGTTTCTATTCTGATCGGGATAAAAGAAGGATGGGTCGCTCGTGTTAGGGACGTGTAACGAATGCTGACAAACCCACTTTTTGTCTGTGACTCGACAAATTGCTATTAGGGCTCAGCCTTCATTACCAGCACATCCTCGCTCACAGTTTAAATGGGGAGACTTGGTAAACGGGACAAAACTCTGCAGTTTATTTATAAAGAGAGTGTCCTGGTTTCTTTCCTATAACCAAGGAGTGATTGTCCGTTTATTCCATTAAACGTTTTTCTGCTCCACAAAACGACTCCCATTTTTCTTTTAAATACACCCTTTGAGTCTCAAGATGGAGTTAAATAATAACATACACCACAAAAGAAATGCAAGCTATTCCCGGTGCTATTGGATGGGATTTCCGTTGCTTGCCTCCAATTAAGCAAGAATTGTTTTCTCCTGCCTCTTTTATAACTCCTCCATGTATATCAGGAGACTTCTTCTATTTAGTAAATAGGACAAAAGTTGGTGTTACCCCTTTTTAGCCACAATTTCTATCATTCCTCATTGTTTCATCTAAGTTTGTCACTACAGAATATAAGATACTCCTGTGCAAAGACAAAAAGCGCCTGAAAATTAGTGACACTGGTGAGTGTATTAGTCCTGCTGGAACCTCAAAGCTGTGCATCATTTTTCTTTTTTTTTTTTTAAATATGTAGCTCATTAAAAAGTTTAATCATGGCAACATAGCCCATTTCAACTATCCCTATGGTTAAATGATGTTTAGTGGCAACCCACCTAACATAGTGAGCAAAATTCATGTTCACAGATGATAAATTTTACAGAACAGAATAGACCAGCAAGGCCACAAATTAATCTCCAGTGTCATAAGAACTTCATTGCACACATGTATAGATCATCTGTCAACAAAGCGAGCAATACAACTGCCAGGCACAGCAAAAGCATTAAATGCAGGCTTAGCCTCCAAATTCTGCTCCTTGACATATCTGGGTCCTTTGGTTACACCAAGCCACACTGGCTGGGGATTGCAGTATGAAAAGAACCAAATTCCCAAGACCACAGCATAACTAGAGCTCCAATTCACTCTTAAATTCTAGTTATTGAATGAAAACAAACAACCAAGACTTCACTTAAGCACAGCAAAACCAGTTTGGACTGATGAAAGCGACTGGAAGGATAGCTGGGGCTTCATATACAACCTGCAGCTTCCCCCTGCAAGTGAAGTTACTGGAAGGACAGGGGTTTAACAAGTGAGTATCTTTCAACACAGCCCATTGCTGAATCAAGAAACTGTTTCCAATTGCTTTTCAGTTTCCAAGCTTATTTAAGAATCCCAAATTTTACCAAAATGAGGAGGAATCTGCTCTCATACGAGAGCTGAAGTCAGTATTGCTAGAACAAAATCCAACATAAAATAAAATACTACACAACACAGCATGAAATAGTAAAGAGGCACATAAAATTGAGCATATGTCTTCTTTTGCATGCTATCAGAACTCAAGGTCGGCATCAAATGCTGTGTTGAGAATGACTTGAATTTGATCTATTGTCTCATATGAGCCAGACTGCAATTCACCTCGCTACACTTATAACAGATATGATTAAAAACAATCAGTTATATTAGGCAAAAATATATTTCCCAAGGCAAACATTCACTTCAATGTATTTTTCTCTGGCTATAACACACAGAAATTCTATGTATATAAAAACCTTCAGGGTTTTTATGGACATTAGCATTGAGCTGGAAAACCGGGAATGCCTGTGAGGAAAACTGCATAAATTAGATGCAGGCGCTACAGTGATTGTATTTCCCTCAGCGTAATTCCCTGCCTACTGTGTAAACTTCAGCTGAATAATCTCTCCACAGGTCCCACATATGTCATTCGAAATAATCTTAGCAACAGTTGCTGATGCTCTCCATCCTGGAGGATGGCTGAACCATCAACAGAATTGCATTTTGCCTCTTACTTTCGGCATTCAACTGAAGGTTAAATAAAAATACTTGCAGTTTCTCTGATGAAAAGCACAATGCAAGCAAAGAAAGCCAAATAAAAGACCAGACAGGCTAGACTACATAGAGCCGACAGTGAATTTTCCAAGGAAATATTTCTGGGCACGTAAAACATGCTGATTTATTGTAACAGAAACATCTCCTGGAGATGAACAGATTCCATATACTTTTCAAAGAAGGAAATCCCCATGGAAACCTGACTGCATTCCCAGCAGCTCGGTAGCACCGAGATGAACGCTCCGTGTGCTGGGAAAGCGCTGCAAAGTGACTCCTGCCGAACAGCTGGAGACATGTGAGTCACGGAGGCTCAGGGGAGAAGCTTGTGGCTCATCCTGGGTCTCCCCAGTTTGGAGGCTCAGTTTCTGCTTTCTTGAAACCCCAGGTTAGTTACTGTGCTCAGCACTTCCAAAAACAATTTTGCTTTTGTAAGACAGCATTTCAAAACTATCTCTGCAAGTACCTTTGGTGCTTTCCTGGCCAGCAGAAATATCAAAACTCTACCCCTGCTCCATTTCTTACAAGGTAAATGTTATTTTAGAAATTCAAATGGAAAACATCCTCATCTTAGGTTGCCTCCTAGGGAGTTTTATCTGTGGCGCAGCAAAGAGAACAAAAAACTGAGAATTAAGAGCTGATGTTGAAACCTTGCAGAGCTTTAAGCAAATTCCATAATCTCTCTGCTATAGCACCGAGGATCAGAACACAACTGCCAAAACCTCACTGTTCTATGCGGTTGGTCCTTCTATGGACAGCGGATGCTGTCCAAAACCATATTTAATGAAGAAAAACCAGTAAAGCCAGGTAAAGGCCAGAATAATTTGGGTTTACAGGAAGACCCTTCCTGACCAAACCCATTACAGTCTGGTTAAACCCTGTATTTCTCACACATTTCCCCCCAACCCTGAGCAGATGGAAGTGCTTGGGATATTGTGGACCATTTCTTTCCCTCTGCCTGCTCACTGTGCTATGAACCACTTGTCCTGATTCACACAGCAATCCATAAGTTTATTAATATGCATGTGCTATTTCACAAGCATTCAGTGATTTGAAAGTGCTGCATAAGGTTTGCTGTCTGTTTTCTCAACATCTGTCCCCAAAGTGCACTTCTGTCATGTTCTGCTCCCATCGTTCTCGGATCAAAAAGTTAGAAGTACGGCACGAATCCGTTTTGAGGTTTGCTAGTGCAGGCTGCAACTCCTTCTTTCCCAAGCGTCTCGCATTCTCACAGCATATGACACTTTCCAATTACCTTTTGGCCCTTTTATTCCCCCAGTCTGGCTCACATTTCTCTCTGAATTTGGTCTCTATGCAGCTCTGAACCCACAGTCTGACAGCTAAGGACATAACAAATATGCAGCACTAACCCTCGGGGTGGTTAGAAATGCCTGAATTCTCCTATTACAGGCAGATTCACAAGTAAAGGTCACCAGAAAGTCTCAAAACTTAAAACAAAAATGGGCCACACAACAAGCAGTCAAAAGCTTGAGGAGGCAGGATGGGCTGTCCTACAGAAAAACCAAAGACGACTTGCAAAGTTTGGATCCAAATCTCAGCTCTGTCAAAGATTCCCCACACAAGCTGAGGCACGTCTCATTTTCGCACGTCTCAGCTTCCCTCTGTACAATGCAACAAAACAGTTCCTCACTACATATGACCTGTGCAAGATGTATTCCACGTACTTTGGAAAGATGATAAGAAAGTCGATAAAACAAGAGGAAGCTTCACCAAAGAAATGGAAAACCTACCTGCAAACTGTCTAGCAAAATGGATCGCAGGAGTTACCCTGGCTGATTTACAGAGGCGTAGTTTAAGAGACAGAATTATGACTAGAAGCAAATAGAATTAAAACAAAAAATAATCATACAAACATTTATAGCTCATACTTTAAGATCAATTCCCATGTTCTAAAAAGTGTCATCTACAGAGATAATTCAGGACTATTTATAGTTTTCTCCGCTTGGAGAGGAAATGCTTAAGTTCTCTCAGGAAAACACTGAATGTAACCAAAGAAATTACACCTGACATCAATTAGTCCCTATTTGTAGACTGTTTAGCATACAGCACTTTAAAAATTCACTTACCTTAATACAAACTGGTCTGCTAGAGAGTCCTCGGCCAGGGAAACATGAAAGGTCACAACATCACCTTCTCTGACCGGGTTGAGTGGTAAGCGAATAATGATATTTTCATCTATTCTCAGTGAAGACTGTTTTAATTTGTCTTGATTTGGGTAAACAATGATGCTACCAATCCTCTCCATAGCTGACAAAGCCTTGTGTTCGTTATCTTGACCTGCATGGATATTGTTTTCCCATTTTTCATCCTCTGGAGAACATTCCCCATCTGCTGTATAGATCTTATAGAAGAGCTCCACAGTAATCCCTTCCAGGGAGGCTGTTTCCTCTGAAACCAGGGGTGGAGGGGAGCTGAACCAGCTAGGAGATAATTCCAGCTCTGCAACACATAATCCTAGATGACCTGTCAATCTACAGCTGGCCACAACTTCTCTAGACTCCAGGAAAGCAAACATCTTCACACAAGGCAACCTCTCCGCAGAATTATAGTCATCCCAGTCCTTTCCCGCAATATAGAACAAGGTTTGTATTTTAGGTTTGTTGGAATAGATTGAGCTGTCAATTACGTGAGATTTTAATTTCCAATTAAAAGTGAATTTATTCGTGAAACCAAAAGATGCAGAAGTCAGCATGAGGTCCAAGGGAACAGCCTGTTCAACAGAAAAGGGTCCGTATGTGGCATTTAGGACAGGCGGCAGTTTGGCTTTGTATATAAAGAAGGAATCCACCCTAGACTGCAAACTGGAGTTCCTCATGATATCCTGGTTCGCTTCTTTGAGGAAGAAGAAAACATCAGCATTGCAGATGTGATAGCTCGCAGGGAGATACGTTGGCAGGTTTGAAAATCTCTGTATGCTGTCCATGATCCCTCCTCGGCTCTCCACCACTGCAGGCCAAAGATAAAAGGAAACAGAAAGATCACTCTAATATTTGCTTAGCATGCCCCTCAGTTTTTCTCAAAAGCAAAGCATTACCAAAGATCAATACTGTTAGCCACAATTACAAAACAATCTGACACAGATACCATGGAATATCACTGTTGGCTCAAAGCTCATACACTGAAAACATCCCATTGCATGAGCTGTACAGCTCCCTTTCCACCTTCCCCAATCTAATACCTACTTGAAAGCCATTAATCAAGTACTGGATAAGAACAAGGAGGAGACTGGCCAGATCCCAGTCTAAGTTCCAAAACTTTTTACTGGTTGGTTGTTGTTCTTTTACTGCCAGATCAAACTTACAACTTTTTCTCATCCATGTTTCAATTTAAGTAAGAAGCTGACATACTGAATATTAGTAGGCAGTAAAACAGAACATTTCCTTTAGTCTAACATCCTTAACACACAATGTGATGGGGATTGCAAATCTGCATCACTCCAAATCCACTTTTGCCAGGTGAGTGGTTTGGAAGTTAGGGGCAAACTGATAAAAGCTTTGTATTCTTGAAACCAAAACTTTTCACACAAAAAAATACGGGGTTTGATAGAAGTTTCAGTGGGATGGATTTATAGGCAACAGTGAACTTGAGAGAAGGAGAAAAATCCTTTACACGCAGAAGGTTCGCAGACGCTTAGAAGGATTTTTTGGTTTAATTCCAGAGGAGAATGAAATACATTCGGAAACCACAAAAGTTTCTCTACATCACAATGGTCAATCCTCCAGCCAGCACTGAGTAATTTTTCCCAGGCAAGAAAAGATTCCAGAGGGAGGGAGGGATCAAACAGACGTCTTTGGTTTGGGCTGATCTCTAATTAACAGTGAGATATATTCAATCTGGGCTGTGATTCTACCAGAAAGAAATGGTGGGTCTTTCAAACTAACAATTCATACGCTCCAACAAAAAGCCAGTGAATGCAAGCTCATGGGACTGCCACAGAAGAAATAAACAGAAACCAAATGAATTAAAATGAAGCAGTTCCATAATGCGCAGAGATAACAAAGGAACAATGACAGATCCTAAGGTCAAAGCTCTTGTTGTCTCTCGCTGAAGCTTAGCAGAGATTTTACTGTTTGTCAGGACTGGGGAGAGCAGATACACAACGCAACAACCACACAAACAATTACACCTGTTACAAGCCAGATGACTCAGATACTTGCAGCCACAATTTAGCACAGATAAAAGCTCTAATATTTAAGCTATTTTTTCAGGTTGTGTATTTTTAAAGCCAACACTTATCGAAGACAGATTCTAGGGCATATCTCATGCATTTGACTTTGCTCCGCTCCTGTTCTCAGTTGAAATTCTGCTCATTTATTTTCAATGGCTTGATATAATCTACGCTTGTTTAAACGCATCTCATTTCATCACAATACTTTTGCCTTTACTTTTGCACTATTTAATTGCGCCAAGGTTTTTCTTTAGCCATTGGAACATTCTTTGTCGGAACGAGTAAATAGGCAAAAAAACACAAAAGCATAAAACATTTCTCAGCAGTATCAACAGTCTCTTCTCTCTACTCCACACAGGGATCAGATGAGGGTTTCCTCTCAGCTCCACAAGCAAATGCAATTGCAGAGCAGCCGCCACGCAATTACCCCACTTGAGTGTGCTCTCATTTCTTATGGCCACGCATAAACATTTCAGCCCATCTCTCATAACACACCAGTGCAGCCAACACCTTCCCCTAGCTGCATGCAGCCATGGACCTGGGCACCCACCTGAAATGCAGGAACCCAGATCATGAGAAACTTTCTCCTCCCTTGCCCACCTGAGGACTAACCTGGGCAATAGCTCACATAGGGGACAGCCAATTTTCAAGTAGAGAAAATTCACTTTAGCCCTTCCCTTCCGTTTCTTTTTCCATTCCAACGTGAATGAAGTTTAGCTGGAACACTCCCTGCAGCATGCAGAAACTGGAGACCCCAGTTCTCTGTGGGAAACTATACGGTGTGAGTAGTAATAAGCAGTTCTGGAAGAAGACAGAGGTAGTCTCTCCAGGCCAAGAGGCTAACCAAGCTACAAGCACTGTAAGAGGCAGGAGGCACAGGTGAGACAGACACCACAGAAAGCAGTAGGTGCTGTGCAGCAGAGATGGCCACCACTGGCCATGAGCACCAGGCAGAGGAGGCTGCACAAGGCAAGGAACCCGCAGCACTCTACAACAGGGTTGGAGGCAAAGAGCAGAGACTGGTGACCACCGTTTAGCAGTGGTCAGGCAATGCTCCACTACTGTCTGCTCTGTGGGAGCCCCAACGCTTTTATCCCACCACCGAACAACAGAGTGCTCGGGAAACGCACTGCAGGTCAAACCTCGTCCTGCTCATAGCAGAATGAGAAGGGGGAAAGGAGAAATCAATGCCAATTCTAGAACCAATATCACCAAGGGATGTTTTAGCAGCTCCATTACCGCTCTGCTATTTATAGAGCACCTTGACACGGTATGGTTTGCCGTGCCATTGTGCAATCGCACAACTCAGTCTCTGAAAGTGAACTTTGCTCCTGTGAAAGCCAAGGCAGCCAGGGGAGGAAAGGTGTTGTTTCTTCACTGAGAAGTCAAATACAGACAAACACCTTCCTAGATTAATTGTAGATAAATCAAACTGCATTTGAAAGCAATACTTTTGAGATGTTGCATTTCTAATAAATATTGTGCAGCCATACAGATAAGCAAAAGACATACAGAAGCAAGAATACCCTCTGATTTCTGGGAGAAGAGCTAAAATGTGCCTTCTACCAAGACACACCAGATTGCAGAGAAGATTTAAACACTGACATAGTTCCTGAGCCTAAACAGGAACCAAAACCAAGGCAAAGCTTGAATGCAATTTGTTTACATTGGAGGACTTTCCTCCTGCTCCCCTCACCCCCTGCATCCTTTATGCAGATATTTTATCTCTCTCAAATGGTGATTTACAGAAAGTTTAAAAGGTATGGTTTTGCCTTTCCTTCGTTTCATTACAGTGGCAACATTCAGTGCCTCTTCTCAGAACTAGTACGAGGCCCAGGATATCAGCCTGCTGTAACTCAAACAAAATGAGACACAAATTTTGTCTGAAAGCTTATATGGGAAGCCATAAACACCGGTAGACAGGGCTGGGCTTTGTCCTAGAACCAGCCTGCAACAAAATATGATATCTGAATTTAGCAGCATTTTATGATGCTGTAGGAACATCTAAAAAGAAATACTTCATATGATGGCAGGCCAACACCCCGCCTTTTTAATTCAGCACGTCAGCACCACAGCATCAATCTTACAGTAACAATCAGAAACAGGACACATTTCCAGCTTTCTGGTGTGCAACAAAGCAACTAATAAATCATCGACTCCTTTAATAAGCACTCCAGCAAGATCCAAAAGGTGGCAGAACATTAGATCAGAAGGTGGGTTAGACCTCATTATGTAACAAAAGAGAGCAAGAGTTGAAGAAAAGTAAACAGAGGCCAAATAAACATCCCCAGGGCCCAGTGCTATCTCAAAGGCTGAACACAGTCTGTTTTTTAGACTACTGTGGCATTGGGGGCGTTGAGGGAAGACATATGAAACTAACACATTGTTGGACATGACTTAAGATATTTAGCTTGAATTTCTAGAATAACTTTTATCTTGTAACAGTTTTTCAGCAGGTGCTTTGTCCCTTTTTAAAGCACTTTTTTGGACTAGCCAATTAGCAAGACCACTAGAGCAACAGGTCAACTTGTAAAATCTCACCACTCTCATTTTATGCCAAAATCTCTCCCTCTCCAGAGTTGGGCAATAGCCTCATAGCCCAGTTCATGCTGCAAATTCTAAGAGTGCAGATGGAAAAGAAACACCCTTCTGATGTTTCTGAAGAGCTGATAGAGGAAGCCACTGCACACATAACCAACCATGCAATGCTGGCATTAGGGAGATGCCCCTTCCTGGTCCTTACTCTGACCAGCTCAAATGAAGATTCATTTCTGTTGTCTTCATAATTTTTTACTTAACCATAAAATTATCCATCACTTCTGTTTTTAGTCTCACTTGACCCTGAACTGATGCCACAAATAACAGCACAGGACTAAGGCACATGCAAAGCCATAGACACTATGACACATAGACACTATGACACATAGACCTAGTGTCACAGTGTGCAATAAAAATCCACCATTCATGTAACTCCAGATTTCATCCAAGCTACATTTCTTAGATTTCATACATTTTAATACGAAGTAAAACAAGTATCCTACTAGAAGGTAGTGGTGGCAGTGACAGGTCAGCATTAAAAACTAATGCATCTATGTTAAGGTGTAGTAAGAGGAAAGTCTTTAAAATTCATCCTTTTGTAACTAAAAAGGAAAATAACTCCTGTTAGAGCATAAATCCAAATTTCACATCTAAATCTTCCCTCTACTTTAGCTAACTACTTAACAGGAGCCAAGTCTTCCATAAGCCCTCAGTTAATTCTGAAGCTGGAGGTAAGAGGAACAAGAAGTGTTTAAAATTGCAACCTTTTCAATATCCTTTTCTCTGAAAACAAAGAAGAATGCCAATCCTGCACCTGTGGAAAAACTGTGAAAATGTTAAAATTCATCTTTCCTGCAGCATCATCAGAATTGTAGCATGAGATCATACAGACACTCCTCTTTGTAAAAGAGGAATAATTTCAAGTAATGTGGTGCCAGTAAGTACTATGATGTTATCCATGACTCATACAGAGGCAATCAATGGCTTGTCTGTATAGGAGAAAAATCACCAGCCCTTCCCACCAGCCCTCACTAAAGACCATAAAGACCAAACTACACATGTACATTATTTCACTATAAAAATGGCTCTATTCATAATAATTATTTTGCTCTGGAAATGCAGGCATTATCCTTGAATAAAAACACACTGTATCCCACAATAGGGTGTCTACACAAGGAAAGCTATTCTGGAACTAATAGATTTTAGGAGAACAATTAATTCTGGACCAGCTGTATAGGTC